ACAATTAAATTGGGTGTCTAATTGACAGACCTCTGCAGTAAATACATAAAAGTGAAATTAAGTTGATTTAAAAGCAACAGAAGTGACTACCGGTAATTGTAGCATAAATATTTAAAACTCTGGTCCAATAAATATTTTGTAAAAATTAAATTGCTTTCAGTGGTGTAAAAGGAGTTGCAGATAAGGCTACTGGGTGAACAGATGTACACCCTCATCACTATCAGGTTGATAGTGATGGGGTATCCATTTGTGGCAATTCTGAAGATGTACCTGGGTAATAAATGACAATTATAGTCAATGGGACCAAGAAAAAAAAACTTCTTAAGATTTAAGAGAATTTGAAATACTGAGATGAAATACATATGTACATAGAGAAAATACATACTGATTAGCAATTTCAACTCACTTGGACATGTACTTGGTAATTGAGATACTGAAGTTCAACTGTATGAAACAAAAAAAGGGATTGTAAAGTAAGTAATATTACCTCTTCATCAAAGGGGAGATTGACCCCTTTGATTTTAGCCTTCATTCTCTGTATAGACATTGTTAGTTTGGTGATCTCCACTTGTAATTCTTCAGCTGTTTCAAATGGTAGTGACGAGAGGGCTCGCTGTGAATACAATATTACACTAAGGAAACTTCAGGTGACTCCTTTTTATAGGTGAAGTTAATTTCTTGACAAATTAATGCCTATTTTTATTTGCTTTATATACCAGTAGTGAAATCATTAGACTTTAATACTGACTTTGTTTTGTGTATTTATACATACATTGAATGCTTCATCATCCTCATCTTCCAGAAGCTCCTGAACACTGATCAGTTCCATTAACTTTTCTTCCTCTATCTGAACCTATGTTAAACAAGAGGCCCAGGGGCCACATCGCTCACCTGAGCAATTGGCTCGGAAAAAACACAGATCAGATCAGAACTGAAAGTAAACTGGGGGGGGGGGGCACTTGAATTTACACCCCCCCCGGGGGGTCATGATTTGAACAAACTGGAATCTACACTACCTGAGGATGATTCCCTATAAATATAACGAAGCCTGTCTTTGAAGTATTTGAAAAGAAGATTTTAAAAGGTTTCCCTATATGTTCCTATGTAAAAGTTTGATCCGCCATTTTGGCCCCACCCTACCCCCGGGGGTCATGATTTGTACAAACTTGAATCTACACTACCTGAATCTACATTACCTGAGGATGATTCCCTATAAATATAACGAAGCCTGTCTTTGAAGTACTTGAAAAGAAGATTTTAAAAGGTTTCCCTATATGTTCCTATGTAAAAGTTTGATCCGCCATTTTGGCCCCACCCTACCCCCGGGGGTCATGATTTGTACAAACTTGAATCTACACTACCTGAGGATGATTCCACATGAGTTTAATCTTTCCTGGCCCAGTGGTACTTGAGAAGAAGATTTTTAAAGATTTTCCTATATATTCCTATGTAAAACTTTGATCCATTTTAATTTACCCTACCCCCGGGGGTCATGATTTGAACAAACTTAAATCTACACTACCTGAGGATGATCCCACATGAGTTTCATCTTTCCTGGCCCAGTGGTTCTTGAGAAGAAGATTTTAAAAGATTTTTCTAATATATTCCTAAGTAAAACTTTGATCGGCCATTTTGGCCCCACACTGCCCCCAGGGGTTATGATTTGAACAAACTTGAATCTACACTACCTGAAGATGATCCCACATGAGTTTCATCTTTCCTGGCCCAGTGGTTCTTGAGAAGAAGATTTTTAAAGATTTTTTCTATATATTCCTATGTAAAACTTTGATCGGCCATTTTGGCCCCACCCTACCCCCGGGGGTCATGATTTGAACAAACTTGAATCTACACTACCTGAAGATGATCCCAAATGAGTTTCATCTTTCCTGGCCCAGTGGTTATTGAGAAGAAGATTTTAAAAGATTTTTCCTATATATTCCTATGTACAACTTTGAAGGCCATTTTGGCCCCACCCTACCCCCGGGGGTCATGATTTGAACAAACTTGAATCTACACTACCTGAGGATGATCCCACATGAGTTTAATCTTTCCTGGCCCAGTGGTTCTTGAAAAGAAGATTTTTAAAGATTTTTTCTATATATTCCTATGTAAAATTTTGATTCGGCCATTTTGGCCCCACCCTACCCCCGGGGGTCATGATTTGAACAAACTTGAATCTACACTACCTGAGAATGATTCCATATGAGTTTCATCTTTCCTGGCCCAGTGGTTCTTGAGAAGAAGATTTTTTAAAAATGTCATTAATTTTTCTCTAATTCATAATTATCTCCCCTTGGAAAAGGGCCTGGCCCTTCATTTGAACAAACTTGAATCCCCTTCACCCAAGGATACTTTGTACCAAGTTTGGTTGAAATCGGCCCAGTGGTTCTTGAGAAGAAGATGAAAATGTGAAAAGTTTACGACAACGACAACGACGACGACGAAGACGACGGACAAATTTTGATCAGAATAGCTCACTTGAGCCTTCGGCTCAGGTGAGCTAAAAATAATGTTCAGGTAAAGTGACAACAGCCTCATGATCCAAATCTTGACTGATCAGGAAGTAAAATATTGGGTGACATGTTCTGTATGACAAGTTACCCATGAATTTACATTCCCACAAATCAGCAAAATTTTGATTTTACCCATGAACATTGACCCCCACAAATTAAAATGATTCGACAATACTTACTTTTTCTAATCTTCTTTTGGCGTTGGATTCTTTCAGTCGCCGGATTTGCTGTTCTCTCCTTTCCTTTAACTGATCAGCTGTCAGCTGACTTCCACTCATCTATCAGATAACAGTAGTCTTTTATCACAAATTCACAATCCTCAGCATTACTCAATAATCATGTTCTTTATCACAAGAATGACAAAATATGACAGAACATGAAAAAACTTTCCTTAAAAATCACAAAAAATACATGTACATCATACTGTACTATAATTGTCAAAGTGGCCAGGCTATCATGCAAACATTTTTTTTAATCTAGTCTTTTTTTCATCCTTCTAAATTTAATCATTTAAATTTACTTTCATAATGCCAAAGTGCATAATTTTTACAATTAAGATTCAAATAGGGAGGATGGTGGAGTCAATAAATTAACCATCAAATATAACTTTTTTTGATCAGATATCTTAAACTGTCAACTATCATTTGGCATTATATAAATGGTGCCGTTTTAGGGTAACTGTTGAAATTGACACCCCAACGAAAACCATTGTCAACCGACGCGTCAGCGGAGGTTGACAATGGTTTTCCAGGGGTGTAAAACTGTTACCCTCCAAAACAGGCACCATTTATTTTATTACACTGAATGTCTTCTTGATTTAGGATGTCAGAAAAAAAAATCATCGATCGTCTTTACGTTCACGTTTAGAACAGTGTAAAAGCTTTCCAAACTCCACGCTTTACTGACCTCTTTATTGTTTATTTGATACTCTAAGAGTCCTTTATCATCTAAAGTTTCGTTATTTCTGCACTCGCAAGCATGTTTCGTTTGTTGTTTTCAAGTAAGCTACATCGGACGCAAGCTTTCATTGACGTCAAGTTTATTCCGGTTCTTTCAAACGCACAACTGACGTTTTGAGAATTCTACGGTGGACTGTACGCGCATAATTTCCACGCATGTGACACTGCCGTTGTGTTACCCGTTGTCATGTGTGTTGCTATGGCTGAGGGTAATAGAACAAATTGTTAACTGCATCTAAACCAATCAGATTTTAGTATTTAACATGAAAGTATAATAAAGACAAATGTCATTTATTTTAAAATTTGATAAGTTTTATATATCTTTACATGGAGCTCTTCTTTTAAATGAGACCAATATGGTCACCCAGTCCTTTTTGTCCCCAATCCAGTTTCTGAGGATAAAGTGCTATATTCACTGTATGGCAAGATTTTTTTTGTAAGAGCTTTTACTGAAATCTATTTTCAACATCTAAAAAATACTTTAAAGGTGCATAGACACAGATTTGAAGTTAATATTTTCTGTATATTATACATTTATTGACTGAGTTTGAGGGCAACATGCGTTTTGTCAGACCCAAGAACCAAACTGTCTGCCTGAGGCTGTTAGGCCGAAAAACAGTTTTGTTCGAGGGTTGACAAAACACGTTGCTAGAACATAGTCAATAAATGTTTAGTTATACCTTTCATTTTAATTTTTTTTTTTGGACATACATGTATTTTGTACTTTCTTCCATGCATGATGTAACCTTAGGTCCGTCACTGTTGAACACCAACGAATGAAAATAAGATAAAGCTCTCTCTGTGACGGTAAGCCATCCAACACCTCACTTAGCGGTCAAACATCAATTTTTTATGCCCACTCAGCAAAACATTAGAAATGTTTTTTCGAAAAATGATTTGTACAGGAACACATTTTTCAAAGTAAAACAATACGACTTATATATTGCAATAGCATTTCATAAGAAAATATAATAAATATCTATACGTATTAATAAGTATTAAGAATAAAATTATAATTTGTGGAATTTGGAATTGCAAGGACGTGTCAATCAAACATGACCTGAAGCTTTAAGTTTCAATAACTTCGAAATGAAAAAATAAGATTTTTATAATATTATCTTGTGAAATGCTAATGCAATATTATATGTCGTAATATTATATAGAAAATTTGAGAAAATGTTAACTTCAAATCTGTGTTTATGCACCTTTAAGCTGTTACAGTATAAAATCTCTTTTATTTTCAAGACTATTAGAACATGCTATTTGTTTAGAACAGAGTCTCATTCAAAAGAAAGAATCAAGAGTACGAACTGTAGCATTGTATGGTAGCTGTATCTTGGTAACGTTGTTCTCGTAATAATCATTGTCAGTCCAAGCCTCCAGGTCTTTAATGTAATCCTCTGCCATGTAACAGTGGTCTCTAACTAGCTCCTTAAAAGTAGACACTTTATTGAGTTTAATTGTGAAAAGGAATCCAGCTACACAATATGCAGTAAAAACTTTTTTGAAAATTTTGAAAATTGCATCTTTGAGAGTTTATTCCATTATTTAAAAAAAAAAAACAATTATAAATATTGTTCAATTTATTGACTGAGAAACTTTAAATCATGTGTGAAAACGTCTTATTTTCACATTCTCTTTCTTTTACTTGAGAATGTCTCTCATCACAAACAAATGATTATTTTATATTATAGCAAAGTGTTTCCTTCTATAATTGTGAACTCAGAATAATCACAGGAGGACTTCAAAATACAAAATATAAATTGTCAATAAAAGATATCACAAAAATACTGTGGAGTCATTAGATTTACTTCTGTCGCTCAATTTTGTAGAAATCATGGGTTCTCATCCACAAATTAACATCCTCCATGAATTAACAAAATAGGGTTATAATGTCATATTTTCATTTGTTGGTATAAAAGAATACACCAAATTACATCTCCACAAACCAGTAAAATTTTATGCAATCAGCAAAAATTGACTCCAACAAATTTTAATGATTCCACATACACTAGTGGGATTATAGTCATTTTACAGAAAAAGATGAATTTATTAATTGAATGTAAAATAACTTATTCCATTGCTATAACTTTCATCTTTATAATTACAATCAATATTTATGCCCTGAACTTCCTCTCAACCATATAATGATATTTCTGACCTCTGCTCTGCTCAGAGTGATGGCTGCCATGTGACCTGGATACTTCAGCTGAAGGAGTCTCTGCATAAATGCATCAAGCTGTGCCCCACCCATATTGATCCTACGGCAGTGGGCAGAGTACACCCTCCCTCCCACAACAGGGATCAGAGACGTGGTCTGATAACCACAGCCCAAAATTAGAGAGTGGGTCTGGTCTATAAAACATAGCAACATGACAGTATATTGTCAGAGATTCTTTCATACATTAAAATAATATTCTGTTACTTGTAATAACGATATGCTACAGTTTTAGATATAGTACCTGTAATGTTTTGATTATTGTACAGGCTGAACAGTGAATCCACTCCATAGGCCACAGATGGAACATGGTAACACTCAAACAGCAACTCGGACATTTCTAAGAAAATACTTAAAATCATGAATATCAGTGCAATAAAGCAAATATATACTGCACAGCCAGACCATAGTTTAGATAGGGTTGAGTATAATTTAGCCTATTTCAGTGGTTTATAGAATACGAATGTAAAAATCAATAAATCAAACAAAATCAATTTATTTCAAGCAAGCAAATCCAAAGAATTGTGGTCCCCCACTTTCGGTGTCTTTGTGGGTGATATGTCATTTTTTTTTTACATGTGTCAAATATGAACACCCTTTCATATGTCATTCAGAAGTTATCACCGAAGTTGATTTTTTTTAAAACTAGGTCAATAGTGAAGGTCAAGGGGTCATAAATCATAGCATGCTCGGAGATATCTTGTCACAGCTAGGAAAGCACATGTCAAATATGAAACCCCTACCTCTCCTCAATCAAAAAATATAAGGAAAATTAACAAGTTGGAAAATAAGGTCAAACTTTAAGGTTACAAGACCAAAAATTATAGTATATTTAGACAGGTCCTGCCACAAGCAATACACAGAATTAATATGAAAGTGCTGTCTCATCTCATTCAAAAATTATGGCTAATTCAATGTAAAGATTTTTTATAAAGTAGGTCAACCTTCAAGGTCAAGGTCACAGGGTCAAAAACCATAGCATATTTAGGAAGGTCTTGTCACAGGTAATATACACGTGGTATATGAATTAAGCCCCATCTCTTTTCATTCAAAAAATATGACCAATGTTAATGTTTTTGTGACAGACAGACAGACTGACAGGCGAATGGGATTCAATGTCCCCTCGCTTTCATGAAAGCAGGGGGACAATAAATGGAAGAGAGTTTACAAAAATAAAATATGCCAAAATTTATGGTATATATTGTTGAACCAACTCTGTCAAATTTATGCCCCCCCCCCCAAAAAAAAAATGTTTTATGGTATTAGGCAAATAATTCATCAACTTTATTATAATATTATTGCTTAGCTTATAAAAGGAAAAGTTTGTGTATTTCCTTTTCTTAATAAACTAATATTTTGTAAATTTGACTGTTCTGAATTTGAAGCAAAGCTTACGCTGGCGACAGTAGCCTGGGTTACACAATGCTTCTGTCATTACTATTGGATGGTTGACACAACCCTCACTGTTGATGCCAAGGTGAGCAAATATGTAATCATAGATCTGTTCCTGAAAAAAAAAATCAAAGTATTTTTCATATCTTCTATCTTCTATATATAGGCATATTAATTACTTGCCATAAAAAAGAGACCTATGGGCTATAATGCTCACTTGAACTGGCCTGCTGTTTTTTGTCATTATCTCTGTTTTGGAGTGTTTATAGCAGTGATAAGCACAAAAAATAATACCTTTTTTTACCATTATATAGACTTTTTGTCTTTTCATCTTTTAAACATTTTTTTCTGGCCCAGTGTCAATACAGAAGAGTTTTACAAAGAAACCACCAAATTTTTCAGTAATTCTTAATTATCA